CCAAAACATCTGGAAGGCACCAGTAAGGAGCATGCTGTCCTATGAAGTTCAATGGGGAGAGGGTAGGGGAAGACCGTGAGTGCTATATGCGTAGACTGGGAGAGGCTCTGGATATAAGGACATGAAGTCTTCCCAACCCCAACCACTTACCCAACATGGGAAAACGTTCAGGCAACCCTAGTGCAGATCTAAATGATTTCCCTCCCAGTGATTTGCCTTAAAAGGATTTATGGGATCTCTTAGGAAGTATCCATTCTTCCATGGGTACCCTGTGGTCTGTCTGTGTCCACTCTTGCTGAGGTTGACCCCAGACTATTCTGCTTAGGGCAGTAACCAATGGTGTCATTCTTCAAACTGTGTTAGTGGAGCTAATCTTTCTGTCGCAAAGCATTTGTGTATTAAGCTCGTGCAAGCACACTTACAGAACTGCACTTGTGCAAATGTACGGTAGCTGGATTTTCTTGTGCCCAGTTCAAAATATAGTTTCTGTTCCTGCAAAGCCATTTGTACTAACAAAATGATACTATTGGATACTGCCCTTAGTTACCATTGAAATCTATGTAACATCATTTCTAACTTTTCACATAGATTTCTATTCAGTCTCAGTTCAACTGCTTAGTGTGCATCCAGCCCATTGTGACTAAAATATTCTATATGTTACAGTCACTTTATAGTGATACAGTAACACATAGTGTATGCTAGCTTTATGCAAAGATTTGGAAAATGTGTTTTGAGCATGAAATATTCACGTCTGAGAATATTCAGAATTAAAAGAAAAAAAAACTCAGCTTGAAACCGGACAGAGAATTTATGTCCGAAAGCTTATATCAAGATATAAAATGTATAAAAAGTATTCCTTAGTATCTTAAAGGTACAGGCAATGAGTAGTTCCATTTCCTGAACTACTTGAAATGTTGAAAACCTTCAACATTTTCAGAAGCGTACCATTTCAGGGCTAAATTTATTAAATGTATTTCTCCTTCCCTGGTTAGGTTTTTTACTGTGTCCACCACACTCCAGCCTTACATACATGTTTTCTCAGGCTGCATAATGTAGAATCAAAAATAGAGGGATTCTGTATCAATCTGTTGAGGGAAAGGTTATATTAACCAAAACATCTAATATTATTTTTTGACTCCAGGATAAGAGCAAGAAACAATTGCCCAGTCTTAAAAGACTTTGTGGAGTAAAGGTGTTTGTATGGCATTGGGGGAATCGTTAAATCCTATTTCCATGTAGTTCGGGCCATTTTCATTGTTCATTGAAAGGCATTTTGGTTTTTGTGTAAATTAAAACCATTTCCCAACAACCAATTTCTTGTTAAGACAGGTAGATGCACCACAACCTGTGAGAGGGATCTAATTAAGATGATGTTTACTCATAGTGTGGTACAAAATAATTTATATTTGTAAAGATACAAAGTTTGTAAAGATACTCACATTCTGATGAAAGGAGTGAAGTGTGTGTGAAGGCCTCAAACATTTTTTTTTAAAGTCTGAATTGGGAATAGTTTCAGATTTGCAAGTGATGCAATAAAGCTTCTCTCAAAAGCAGGAAAACATGATACAACATGCAAACCATTCCCTTAAGTGAATTTCACTTGCGAGCGGAGCAACAGAAATGCTTCAGTCTTTGTCCTGGCGAGGAAATCTTTCTAAAAAAACTTACCTGTTGCACACAATCGATTATAAGGATGGCGGAGACGAGGAGCCACTGCATGTTCCTGTGAAGGCAGAAGTGAAAAACAGAGCACAAGCAAACAGGCTGAGCTGTGTCAAAGCCAACACCGTGCACAAAGTCTTCTCTGTCTCCTCTGCAAACCTCCTCTCCTCACCACACTCACAAAGACACATGTATTCGCATTTGGAATCCTGCACAGAGTAGCAGCTTCACCCTGAGTCTTTCAGCAGCCCTTTCATTCCCTTAAAGCTTATTCACTGGGTTTGGTTGGCTGGATCAATGTTACTCTTCCAAATGCCTTTAATTGTAAAAGCATCTAAAGGGGCAGCCATATTAGTTTTTGCAGAAAAAGCCACCAAGAGTTTTGTAGTGCCCCTAAGGTCTAACACATTTATTCTGACATGAATAAACTCCACTTCAGATGCATGGAGTGTTGTTGAAAATTTCAGGTTTATATACTGTACGTTTTCAGGAACTGAAGTGTCCCTCACTTGTTAAAAATTTCAAACTTCTGGCAACCTCTGAGGTCTGCTATGTGAGCAATAACTGACTAATAGAGAAGTTATGGCTGGACACCATTTAGGATTAAGAGGAAACAGGGATATGGAATTGACTACAAACCATTGAAGCAGAAATACCTCTGCTCTAGAAGACATTTTTCATAGAGTACCCAAGCCTGTAGGATCCCTGTCCCACGCAGCCTGTGACTTGCCTTATCCAATGGACTACAGCCAAGACTCCAGTCCAGAAAGCCATCTGGAGAACTTCACACTTATGGAGTAACCTTCTACTTGGGATGAAATTCAGCTCATAAAGTGCCCATCAGATTAGAGACAGATTAGGTTCCTAGTTTGCTTGTCTGAGCCATGAGGTACTCCTTGCCAGATGTAGCAAGCCTAACCTTACGTATTTGTCTACTCCCTTTTAATTCACACTGAGTGCTATTCCTTTGACGGACAGTTCCCACACAACAATACGTTAATAGTCCATGACACCAAATTTCTCTGAAGAAAAGGTAGATGGCACCAAGTAACCCTTACATCTCTTTCTTGCAACTCTTAATATTGCTACCCCCAAAAGCATTCAAGCAGACAGAATGAGAGGACTAGAATTAGGCATTTTGGTGATGTGTGAAAGGAGGAAATTGCATCAAATCACAAAAGAGCAGCTCTTGGCCCTGATAGTCTTCCTCGTCACTCATATTTCACTGTAACTGAACAAAGCCTGTGGGTTCAGTTAGGACTGCATCCACATAGTAGTGCTAACTCTGTGAAACTGCAAAGTCAGCAGACCAGCTGCTTAAGGAAGACTTACAAACGATGATTCAGACAAAGGTTTTTGAAGATATCGCTGCAAGAAAATGTTTGCCAACAATTCAGAAAAAAAGGCATTTTCATAGGGTTTTTTTTCCTGTCTCTCCTCGTCTTGCACGTAACCTCCAGAGATTTACCCTGACTCATCCAAATATGGCGAAGAGTTTCCTCAGGCCAATCTCTCTCCTGAGCACAACCAGCTGAACTGGACCTTAAAGTCTCCTGCTGGCTTCCGCTTCCAGTGTTATTTACCACAGCAGTGTTGCCTGATAGCCCCAGCCCAAGCACGCTGCTGACTGCAAGCACTATACTAAAGCTGTAGTAGCTGCACCCTTAATTAGATAAAGCAGGTCTAACTTGAGTTGGAGGGGTCCCGTTTGCCACAAAGTGGCCCCTCAGTGCTTTGTGCAGCAAGACTCTCTTATCCCACTCACACCAAAGCACCAGCTTTTTAACCCCCTTTTAGAAGGAGGCAGGAATTGTGTCTTTGTTCCTATGAGTTAGCATTAAAAATATGCAACACTAGCAGGCAGGGAGAAGTATTTAGCAGTACAACTGTGACAGGTTCGCTTCACATTTAGCAGCAAGGAGCACAAACTTCAGATCCAAAGAGATAAGGAACTGTACTCTTAGGCTGAGGGTATTATCAGAGTAATGTTGTTTGCAAATATGAGAGCTACCTGCAGTTCCTGCCATCATGCACTGGTGATTCTGTCTCCAACAGTTTCATGAAAGAGTGCAGCAGGCCCAAGTTGAGAGGTATGTGGTTCGTCTCCAATTCTGTTGTTGCACTCCACGTATCCCACTGCACTAGCATGACCCCCTTGCTAGAACAAGAAGGAGCTGACTCTTAAGATAACCCCAGAAATGTTTGTTTCTTTGTAGGAATGATCAACTGAGCTCCCTTCTGTGAGTTTTGATGCTCCACCCCATTTCTGAAACAAGTATTGCTATATATTTCCAGTCATTTAAAAGCCATAAGTGTCCCCCTGCACTAGTGGGGGTCCTTCTGGCATATGGGCACTCTAGGAAGCTGTCCTATGTGTGTATGTGCAAGCATAGGTGTGTGCTTGTACATCTATGTAAGCTATCCAGAGACCCGCAAGGTATTGGAGAGGGTAAAAATACCCAAATAAATAAAAATAAATAAAATAAATGGTATGCATTAATGTGTATAAACATGTACATTTATCCTCTTCCTCCTCCTCTCTCTCGCTTCCCTCCTCCCAATCTGGTGTTAAGAGTTTGAACTCAGCCGTTACCTGAGGTGGGTTTTGTATTAAAATCTACATAAAGGAGAGGAAGCTTAATTCTCCTTTTGCCTCAGTTTTCAAAAAATGTACATCCATTTACTTCTGTGATGGAAATGCTCTTCATTTACACCCATGTGAGTGAATGGATAATCAAGGCCTCCGTTTCCATGGAAATGCCAGCTGGAGGCAGAGCATATAAGCCTTCCCTTCGTTTTGGCGGTTGAAACAGCCGAACTTGAGTATTCAGGCTGAACATGGGATCGCTGCCTATGGCTTGCAGAAGAAAAAGGCTAGATGAAAAAAGATCTTGAAATTAGAGGACAACATCTTAAATCTGAAGTAGTGATTAACCAAGCCAAAACAGTGTATGGGGGGGGGGTATCTTTATGGAGTGTAACAATACTGTGATTTATTTTATTTATTATTTATTTATTTAGGAAACTTCTATGCCTTTATGCAATTTATAATTGCTCTGCCCATCTAGAACAGAGTGGCCCCTTCATAGAAAATGAAAGAGAACTGTCCTATGCATTCGACATACTGAGGTATTAGAATTATGGGTAAAGAAATCTCTCTCCATGCAATAAACAAAAGGGATAAGTTACATGTTAAATTAATTGTATGTTTAAATAGCACACTTGGTACAAACTTGCCTCTTTCTGAACAGGAAGTACCCTGGAGGGTGGGGGTGGATACAATCAAGAGTGACACCATGGCAAGGAGAACAAGGGCTAATGCTTTCTTCCTTGCTACTGCTCCACTGAAGATACCTCTCCTCCAAAAGCTGTTCTCAGCCCCCTAAAGTTATGCATGGTAGGAGTTCAGCATAGCTTTGGGGAGCATTGCAAAATATGACCCTTGCCACAGGAAGTATGACAAGACAGCAGTCCTGAATTCCACCCTCTTATTCTACAGGCTCATTTCCTGGAATTAATTTGAAAAGGGCACTAACTGCATTGAGAAATTGGTGCATCCATTTGTGCATATTGATGGAAATACCAGTAGGGCTAATACTGTTGGCTACTCTGTCCAATAATACTATTAGTCAGTGTAATTACTCAGGAAGAAGAGTTGCCGCAACAGTCACTGCTAGCAATCTACAATGTACCAAATATGTGTGTTGCTAATGTGTGTGTTCTACTTTGGCCGCCTAAGGAGAAGGAAGGACTCACTGGAGAAGACCCTGATGCTGGGAATGATTGATGGCAAAAGGAGGAGGGGATGGCAGAGGCTGAGGTGGCTAAACGGGATCACTGGGGCGGCGGGTATGGGCTTGAATGGACTCCGGGGGATCGTGGAGGACAGAAGAGCCTGGAGGAATGTTGTCCATGGGGTCATGATGGGTCGGACACAACTTTGTGACTAAACAGAACAGATGTGTGTGTGTATCATGAGAGGGGGACATGTTGTCCTGCAAATACAACTTCCATCAGGCCATGATAAGGGAAGATGGGACCTGTAGTCCAATAGCACCTGGAAGGTCATACAATCCCCATTCCTGATAAATAGCATAGTAATCGCCTGATTGGTTTAGATAGGCAAGAACAGTTGTTTGCTTGTTTGCTCATGCAATTGTTCTCATCCTTGCTCGTACTTTCCTGATGCCAAATGTGTCTGTTTCTTAATGTTTGCTTGCAGCAATGGTGGCTCTTACATTGAGAGTGAAAGGACCAACCCAAGACATTTTGCTGCCCAAGGCAAAGGGAAAGGTGGCCTGCCCCCATTTCACTCAAGAAAAGCTTAGCCAGACCGGTAGTTGAATCTCACTCCTACACTGGAGGTGGGAAGGCATCCTTCACCAGGCCAGCCATGTGATGCACAGTCCTCCAGAGGAAGAAACATGAGGGGACAGCTAGTGCTACCCACACAATATCACCCGTCATCTGCTGCCTGAAGCAACTGCCCCGCTCTGCCTCACCATAGAACTGGCCCTGGTCAGTTACAAAACAGAACCTTTCATTACGAATCAACACTGTAGTGTGTCGTTAGTGCCCTTGAGTTCAATTGGTCTTACTGCCAGATGAGTGCATTTATGACAGGATTGCGGACAAGTTGATTTCTAATGAATGGAACAAACTCCAAATAGTGATTTTAAACTTCTCTATTTATTTTCTCAAAATGTAGACTCATCCTAATGAATGTCAGAAATAAAACTCTTATCATGTGTTATTTTATCTTATTATGATAACATGAAATAAACCACAAATGTACAACTGTATCCAGGGCAGGGGACACATCATGCAAAACTGAGGAAATGCTGTTAGTCTGGGTGTCAAAGCAAATACTCTGTGCCAGCATTCGGCATCCTACTGTCACACTCTGCGGCAAGAATTGGTCTGCATGAATAGGAAGATTGTTTGAGACAATCCTTCTACATTTCACTTACCCTGAGAGAGGCCTCAGCAAGAAGATGGGATTTATTTTGGGAGCATAGTAAGTCAAGGGACACAAAAAGGTTCAGAGGGAAAGATATAGCAAATGTCTCAAAAATTAGAATCACTGCAACTGAATTCATTCTTTCTGAAGCTGTAGAATATCTTCTTGCAGTGGTATGAACATTGAAAGACCAAGGGCTTCATCCAAGGCTGAACAGAAATTAAGGCACAACTCCCAGGGAATTTATGGATTTTTCCCCATCTGTACATGCCTAAGACTACAGTGTAAGGAGTTAAACTGTCTGCCAAAATATGGTGGAATAATGAAAGCAGCAGGAGGTGGGAGAAAATCCATGCAGCACTCAGTGTTTCTCTACCATGAAGCAACACATCTGGTATACAACTAAAGGACAATATATTGTCAGTTATTTCACACGTTAGAAGAACAGACAGATGTACTGCAAAGAGGAGGCTGCCAACTGTATTTTATACTTCACTTGTCAGAATGTCTTCAGCCTGCCTTACTACAAAATTAACTCTGGAGATCCTATGTTAGACAATGGGTGGGGTGCAAACATTCAAGCTGATCTTTGTTTCCACTACCACACTGCCAAGGTTGAGTGAGAAAGTGGTGGTGGCAGGAGCATGATGTGGGAGGCATACATACCCCCTGTCAATCAATGGCACATCTGCCACCTGTGACATGACACCAAAA